GAGAGAGAGAGAGAGAGATTGAGAGAGAGAGAGAATCCCAAGCAGGTTCCATGCTCAGCCTGGGGCTTGATCCCACGACTCTGGGATCATGACCTGAGCCCAAACCAAGAGTCAGACACTTAACTGACTGACCCACCCAGGCCTCCCTGTGGGTGTCTATCCTTAAAAACTACATTGTATTAATTAATGGAGATTTCCAGTAGAATTTGAAAATTAGGAGCATTAGGTTCTGAAATTTGTTGTTCTTTCTCAAAATAATTTTTGCTTATCTAGGTCCTTTACATTTATGCATGCATTTTAGAATTAATTTGTCAATTTCTACAAAAAGAGATTACATAGAATGTGTGGATCAATTGGGGGAGAATTGACATCTTAAAGATATTATTTTCCAGTACATGGAAAGATTTACCTCCATATTTATTTAAATCTTTATATTTGTTCGCCAGTGTTTATTTCTCAGTGTACGGGTCTTGCACCTATTTTTTTTCTTAAATCTACCACTAAGTATTTCATGCTTTCTGATATAATAAATAGTATTTATATCATGAACAAATGTGGAATTTTGTCAAATGCTTTTTCTCTATCTCTTGAGTTAATCGTATCCTTTTTATTGTAGTGTCTCTTTTTCTTGATCATGCTAATGAGGGGTTTGTTAATTTTATTGATCTTTTCAAAGAACAAGCTGTTGATTTAAATAATTTTTTCTATTATTTCTCCATTTTTCATTACATCAATTCCCACTGTTGTCTTTATTGTTTCCTGTTTTTGGTATTCACTTTGTGTTTATTTTTTAGCTTCTCAAGATAGATTATTGGTTTAAAATTTTTTTCTACTCTAAAATAAGAATTTTGCACTATAAATTTACCACTAAGTGCTGCTTTAACTTTACCCCATATATTTTGATACATTGTATATTCATTATCACTCAGTTTAAAATTTTTTATTTACATTGTGATTCATGCTTAGAAGATATTATTTAATTTCTAAATATTTGAGGATTCCCCAGATCTTTTTTGTTACTGATTTCTAGTTTAATTCTCATATGGAGAGAGAACATACTTTGTATGATTTTCATTCTTTTGTTGAGATTTGTTTTATGGCCCAGCATATGGTCTATCATAGTAAATGTTCCGTGTGCACTTGAGAAGAATATATATTCGGTGTTATCGGGTTTAGCATTCCATAAATGTCAGTTAGATTAAATCAGTTAATAGTTTTGTTGAAGTTTTCTATATTCTTACTTATTTTCTCCCTTGTTTAAGCAGTTATAGAATCATGTTGAAATCTCTTGAAAGAACTGTGAGTTTGCTTATTTCTCATATTAATTTGTAAGACTTTGTGTCATTTATTTTGCAACTTTTTTATTAGATGTATAGACATTTAAGATTATTATATCTCCTTGATATATTGAGCATTGTATTATTATCAAATGTTCCTCTTTATCCCTGATAATAATCTATTACCCAAAGTCTATTTGTCTGATAATAATATAGCCATCCAGATTTCACCCAAATTAGTGTTTGCATGGCAAATCTTTTTCCATCCATCCATTTTTCACATGTAGATGTTTCTGAATTTAAAATGTTTCTTGTAGGGGCACCTGAGTGGCTCATTAGGTTAAGCATTCAACTTTGGCTCAGGTCATGATCTCTCAGTTCATGAGTTCAAGCCCTGTATTGGGCTCTATCAGTGTAGAGGGATTCTCTCTCTCCTTCTCTCTCTCTGCCCCTCCCCCACTTGTGTGCACGTGCTCTCCCTCTCTCTCTCTCTCTCAAAATAGAAAACAAAACTTTGAAGAAATGTTTCTTGTAGACCACATGTGGTTGATTTTTATTTTTTTTATTGTGTCTAACAATCTTTGCTTTTTTAATTGCAATTTCTAGATTGGGGGCATGGTGGTTGACCAATTTTCTGTAAAAGGCCAGATAATAAATATTTTCAGCTTTATATGACATGCAGTCTTTCTCACCTATTTACTTCTCCTATTGTAGTGTCAAAGCTGACACAGGTAATACATTAATGAAGGAGTGTGGCCGTGATCCAATAAAGCTTTCTTTACAAAACAGGTGGTGGGTCATACTTTGCAAACCCCTTGTCTGGATCATTTATATTTAATGTAATTATCAATATCATCCAGTTTAAGTCTACCATCTTGCTATTTTTCTATTTGTTTTATGTATTTTTATCCCAATTATTGTTCTTATTTGTCTTTTAGGTTAAGCACGTGTTTTATACCATTCCATTTGATCTGTACCAGTGGTTTATTAGTTATATAGTTTGTTTTATTTAATGGTTATGCTAGCATGTAAAAAATTCATCTTTATCACAGTACACCTTCAAATAATGTTACGCCATTTTTGTATAATGCAAGACCCTTACAATAGTTTATACCCATTGTCTCCTTCCATCCTTTGTCTTATTTTTTGAATACATTGTATTTCTCTATATGTTATAAAGTGCATAATACATTGTCATTATTTTAGTTTTAAAGAGTCAATTACTTTTTTTTAATTTAAAAACAAGAAAAATTATTTTCTATTTACCTACATAATTACCTTATCTGGCATGGTTACTTTCTTTGTATAGATTTGAGCATCCGTCTAAATATATCTTCTAGTTTCTTGTTACTATATTTGTTTTCCTTTAAAATCCTTGAGTATATTATAATAGCTGTTTGAAAGTTATTGCTAATTCCATAATTTCTGTCATTTTGGGTCTATTTCTTTTACTTAGCTTTTTCCTTGGTTTGGGCCATATTTTCCTGCTTCTTTCCATTTGTAGTAATTTTTTATTGGATGTTGTACATTATGAATTTTTTTTGAGAGTCTGGATTTTGTTTTCTTCCTTTAAATAGTGTTAAATAACTTGTAGATGAGCTAATCTTTTGAGACTTGTTTTTAAGCTTTGTTTGGGTAAGTGCAGAGGATCTTTTATTCTTGAGTTTGCTCAGCCCTACTAAAAAAAGGCATGATTTTTCTTGGGTCTCTCCTGAATGTCTTAGTGGTTAAAACTGTGAATTCTTGCTCTGGACATTTTTTTGCTTATAGTTCCCTAGTAGGATTTTTTTTTTTTTTTTTTTTTGGTCTGGCTTTGTGGAATTTTCTCCTATGCATATGTAGATTGCTCTTCAGAAACAGATTCCCTCTTTCTGCTCTAGGTCCCTGGTCCTGCAAATTCCAACTCTCTTGGCCTTCCCAATTTCTGATATCTCTCTTCTAGCTCAGTGAGACAACCATGGTTTGCTTGGGTTCTTCCATTCTACACTGACAGAAAGTACCTCTACCACTCACCTTGTTTGTCTTCTTACCTGTGTCACAGTCCTGGGCAACATCTTAAGAACAGCTGATTCATATGTTTTGTGAGTTTTCCGGTTGTTTATGTTTGGATGGCAAGTCCAGTACCAGTTATCTCAACATGGGAAGAAGTGGAATTCTATTTATTTGATGTTTGATCCTTTAAGACAGATTTAAACTCTTCAGGAACCCCTGGTGAAAACTGGATGTATTCTCATTCCCCTGGAAATATCACCTTTGACTTAAATCTTTGAAAACTAAGACTATATCTAGAATGCTTCTTTAGATAGAACACTAGTATTATCTGGCCATTCCTTTATTTAAGAAAAAGTCTTTATTTTTATACTATAATTTTGGATTATTTTCCATGTTGATAAAACTCAAAAATAAGATTTCTAACATCAAATTTTTCCCTTTAATAATGATCTGTCATAATGCCACATCTCTTATTCAGTAAATTCTTATTCAGTTCTTCTTAAATGCTTGGTATTTTTCTGGACTATAGAATACTACCAGCAAAAGCAAGTTAGGATCCATTCATTAACTAGTTGAGAAAAAGGGAAATGAGAGCTAAAATTGAAGGAGAATTCAAAGATTCTGGCAGTAGGGGGGTTGTTTTTATTTTTATTTTTACTACTTCATATTATACAGTCTCAGATATCTTATATAGTCTAAGTAAAATTGATGTGTTAAATGAGACAAAAACTACTAGAAGAATCAAAAATAAAAATGTCAAAGTACAAGAAAAATTTAAGACTAAATAATTCTTAAAATTGCTTTGTGTCTTCCTATCTCATAAGATCAATTTATTTTCAACAATTAAATGAATTTTCACAACATATATGAAGTCAAGAAAGTACAAGTAATTTGCTAGGCAGATAGGGTTGGAGGAATGAAAATAGTCTATAATATTAAAGACACATGGCAGAGGTCCAGAGACTCAGAGGCTCTGTGCACCAGGACCCTTTTAGTTCCTTTTGGCCTGTTGGTTCATCTGGCCTGATAAAGTTTTTGAAGAAGCTAGCATGCTAGCAAAAAATTAAGCTGTCATGTTTGTCATTGTCAAATTGTGTAATCATTATCAAAATTATCATCTTATTTATTTATAGGGGTTTTTGTATAGTAGAGCTAATGACCCTTTTTCCAATCACATATTTTTTAACTTTTTAATTCATCATTTTTCTATAGAGGTTTAAAAAATTATGCATGCATATTTATTAAACATTCTTTATAGTTTCTGAGGTTTTTGCCATGCTTGAAAAGCTTTCATACCCCAATGTTATTTTTTTAAGTTCTCCCACACTTTCTTTCTAGCATTTTATTATTTAACTCTGTTTACATTTAAATACTTACCCATCTGGCATTTATTTTTCTCTCATTTTTTCATTGTTTTTATTGAAGTGAAATTCATATAAGAATGTAATCATTTTCAAGTGAACAATTTAATGGCATTTAGTACATTCCAAAACATTTTTGTCACGTCGAAAGGAACCCTGTGTGTCCATCAAGCAATTACTCTCCATTCCTCAGCCCCTGGCAACCACCAGTCTGCTTTCTGTCTCTATGGATTTACCGGTTCTGGATATTGCATAACAATGGAAGCATATAGTATATGACTTTTTCTGCCTAGCCTCTTCGGTTTAGCATAATATTTTTGATAAATATTTTGAAAGATCTTCCATTTAGCATAATATTGAAGCATGTGTCAATACTTCATTCCTTTTTATGGCTGAATAGTATTCCACTGTATTATATATGCTACAATTGGTGGGTATTTGAGTTGTTTCCACATTTGGCTATTGGAAATAGTACTACTATGCACATGTGTATACAAATATTTGTTTGGGTATCTGTTTTCATTTCTTTTGGCTGCATACCTAAGAGTGGATTGTGGTATTTATTTGCATGTAAAGAATGAGATATAAATTCAGCAATTCCTTTTTTTCTCCCAAAAGGTTAGTCTTTTGTTTAGTCCCATTTCTTATTATCTTTCCTTTACTAATTTCCCTAATTAATGTTTCTTTTGTCATATCATGTCTATTAATGTTTCCTTTGTCATATACTAATTCCCATATGTACTTGGGTTTCTTTTTTTTATGTTTCTTTTTTTTATGTCTTTTTATTTATTTATTTATTTTAATTTACATCCAAGTTAATTAGCATATAGTGCTAATTAGCATATAGTGCATGATTTCAGGAGTAGATTCCTTAATGCCCCTTATCCATTTAGCCCATCCCCCTTCCCACAACCTCTCCAGTAACCCTCTGTTTGTTCTCCATATTTAAGAGTCTCTTGTGTTTTGTCCCTCTACCTGTTTTTATATTATTTTTGCTTCTCTTCCCTTGTGTTCATCTGTTCTGTGTCTTTAAGTCCTCATATGAATGAAGTCATATGATATTTGTCTTTCTCTCTGACTGACTAATTTCGCTTAGCATAATACCCTCTAGTTCCATCCATGTAGTTGCAAATGGCAAGATTTCATTCTTTTTGATTGCCGACAATATATACAATACTCCATTGTATATATATACCACACTTTCTTTATCCATTCATCCATCGATGGACATTTGGGTTCTTTCCATATTTAAGATATTGTCAATAGTGCTGCTATAAACATTGGGGTGCATGTGCCCCTTTGAAACAGCATACCTGTATCCTTTGGATACATACCTAGTAGTGCAATTGCTGGGTCATAGGGTAGTTCTATTTTTACTTTTTTGAGGAACCTCCATACTGTTTTCCAGAGTGGCTGTACCAGTTTGCATTCACTTCGGTTTATTTCTTAACTGTTTGTTTGGCTCCTTGTTCTATCTGTCTGTGTGACAATACCACAAGTTCTCTTTACCTCATATTCACATAATTATCATTTTAAGTTTTAGACAAGAAAGTCTACTTCCTACTCTCACTCTCATCCCCAATTATTCCTTTTGTTATATTTTCTCTTGCTAGTTCCATGTGTTTATTCCAGGTAAACTTTTCCTTTCTTTTCATTGATGACATTATAAATGTCATTAATACCTTCTTGGCATTCACATGGAAAATTATCATGTTAATTTGTACTTAAGAAAATGGTCAAGGGGCACCTGGGTGGCTCAGTGGGTTAAGCGTCCAACTTCAGCTCAGGTCATGATCTCATGGTTTGTGAGTTCAAGCTCCACATCAGGCTCTCTGATGTCAGCTAGGAGCCCACTTCAGATCCTCTGTCCCACTCTCTCCCTGCCCCTCCCCTGCTCGTTCTCTCTCTCAAAAATAAAGATAAAAAGAAAGAAAGAGGCAGAAAGAAAGAAAGAAAGAAAGAAAGAAAGAAAGAAAAAGAAAGAAAGAAAATGGTCAAGAATCCCATCTCTAAAATGGAAACGGCTATTCATTGTACATTCCAGTGCAGTTAATAAGGGGCACTGTGGTAAATGAGGTTTCACATTTTTAGGTAGACTGTTATTTTTTTTTTTAGCTTTGAAATCTGAAGGAGATGATTACTATATTAATGGCGCCTGGACTATTGACTGGCCTAGGAAGTTTGATGTTGCTGGGACAGCTTTTCACTACAAGAGACCAACTGATGAACCAGAATCCTTGGAAGCTCTAGGTCCCACCTCGGAAAATCTCATTGTCATGGTAAATGTGTCTTTGCCTCTTAATTTCTACTATTTGTTATTTGCCCTGTGAGATACAGAGGAGCAGGCTTTATTATCTCTGTTTTACAGGTGGTGAAATTAAAGATAAAAATCTTTATCTTAATAAAGATAAAATGGTTTGCCTAAGGATAAAAAATTTGTGTAAGGTTAGGCCATATTGCTCTTTCCATATGACTATTTTCTCAGTGCCTGCTTGAATAATATTTTTATAACCAAACAAGGCAGATGAGGGAAATGTCTCTAAATTACCCATGAAAATGGGGGGAGAAAAATTCAATATAAGTGCATGTGTTCTAAAAGTTATCTTAAATTTCCTATGAGACTTACTTTATGACATTTTCTTCTTCAAAAGAAATGATAAATATCTGAATGAAGCCTCATTGTATTTTAACTATCTTCACCAGTTGTTTTCAATGGCAGGTTCTGCTTCAGGAACAAAATTTGGGAATTAGGTATAAGTTCAATGTTCCCATCACTCGGACTGGCAGTGGAGACAATGAAGTTGGCTTTACATGGAATCATCAGCCTTGGTCAGAATGCTCAGCTACTTGTGCTGGAGGTAAGACACCCACTAGGCAGCCCACCCAGAGGGCAGGACGGAAAGCACAATTCTGAGCTATGCTTTGTGTTTGCTAAAGAAGCTAATTGGAAACATTTCTTGCAGGTTTGCTTCAAGCTGTAATTTAGCAAAAGAAACTTTGCTTTAATTATATTATATTCCGTTTGTTTTTAACCTCGTGTAATTTGTACAGATTTGTTGGTAAAATACATCTTGGCACAATGAGTGTCTCTGCTGGTGCTTCTCCCAAGACTATCTTGAAGGTGGGCTGTTTGCTTTTCGTGAACACATTCTTGGTAAAGAACATCAAGAGTTTTAAATAAGAAAATGAGCAAGAATCAGACGGCACAGATGCAACTTCTTGTAATGGGGGATGAGAATGTATGTCTGTGTGCTAGCGTGTTTGTGTTTGTGTGCTTGTGTGTTTCCCACAAACCTATTCAAACTCCCTTCTCCAGCCATCAAAGTTAAGGGGCTATATACTGGGATACTACGATAATTCCTGGTGTCTGGGTCTCTGGGTTGATGATGTATGCTGACCCCATTATAGTCCCTCAGAGAGGTAGCTGCTAGGCGGTGGTTGGTGATGTGTTGGTTGTCCCATGTGCGTTTTTCATGGGTGCCTTTTCCCCACAATTTACTCTATTCCTAATCCTCCTCCCTCTAGTGGCCACCAATGCAATTCTTTACCTCTGGCTGGGAGAGCAGGACAGTTGGCTTCCTTCAAAGCCAACACCCTTGCTGCTGCATGGACTGGTGAGTAGAAGTGCTGTGCAAGCAGCATCTTCCTTCTCTCTGGAGACTAAATGCATCGCCTCCACCGTACACCTTGGTCCCAATAGACGAGGAAACAACCCTATCCGTCAGGCCTAGGCTGGATTAGAGTACCTCACCATTCCAAAAAGAAAGACTGATTTTGAATAGTGATATTTAGAATGGGAGGAATCGAAGTAAAGTGAATCACCCCATTTTACCCCATTTCCAGTGCATTACCTATGTTCCTTTTCTAAACTGCCCAGAAACATATGATTTAACGTGGACTTTACCCTATCTTGTCTGGTACTCACTGAATTTCTAAACACCTCTGATTCTCAAGGCTGGAATCAGAGAAATTATTTTCACAGAAAGATTATTATATAATATGTTCAATATTTTCAGACTCATACAGAATTAAATCATTGATTAGCTATAACTCCAACTTCAGTAGTAAGCAGTATATAAAACGTCAAAAAACCCACAAATTAATACTACTACTACTACTACTAAGAATAATTTCTTCTCCTATGTGAGGTGTCATAAAACATGGTTATATATAATTTGTGACTTATTTTAAAGGATCTCTAGTTCCCACCCATTTTATGTGTGAAATGGCTAGTGATTTATATTGTAAAGTTCTAAAAACGATAAAGCATTACTATGTATTTTAATAAAATAAAGGATATTTGAAATTAATTGTTCAAGCGAATGCCATTTTATTATATTTTGGTGGCATTTATACAGATATGTTTCTTTGTTCCAATAAATTCATTTTTATTCAATCTGTAAGCTAACTTATCCCTTTCACATACCAAAAAAAAGTCTTTATGATATCAGTATATACATGATTAAGACCCTGAAGTATAAGGTAGGATAAAGTTGTTAAAGAAGAGTTAGAATAAAGTTTAGGAAGTCTAATGAGGAAAGTCTAACTGTTGAAGTTGGTTAGCTCAGAGAAGAAAAGGTTGAAGGAAAGTATATTAGTATCTTCAATTCTGTGACAGAATGTTGAATGAGAAATTCTTAGTGCCTGTTCGTCTTTGTACTGAAAATTGCTATATTTGGGGATGATTTAGACACAGTCTTGTCTGAGGCCAAGGAGGGATTAAGTGAATTCTCAGTGTTCCTTCTAACCCTAGGATTCTTTTGTTCAAAAAGGAGATAGTTCAACAAAAAGGGTGGGGGTTAGGCTATAAGAACTGAATTTAGAAGAAAAACTTTGTATTCAAGATGTATGAAAAATCTAAAGGAGTTTTATTCTTTTCCATAACACTGGCATCGAGAAATCATAATACAAAAATGATTTCTTGTGGTAGGGGATAAAACAAAAAGAAAAACAAAGAGGGAGAAAAGCCCCTGGAAAGAGAATTTTCTGTTTTTTGAACTTCTTCGTTTTGTTCTGGAGCCACTGGTCCTAGATATTTGAGGTGGTTCTGGCAACTGGAATTCTGCTCACTTGTGTGTGATTATGATAGCAGTCATCAGGCCATTGCCTTCTTTGGAAGAGACACGTACAGTACTTGTTGGCAGGGATAGTGTGAAGAGTTGCCATTTGTCTTGCTTGGTAAGTGGTTCTTAAAGTGTGGTTGCTGGACCAGCAGCATCAACATCATCTGAGAATTTATTAGAAGGTGCTAATTTGGGGGCCCCACCTCAGACCTACTGAATAGAAACTCTGAATTGGCCTCCACAGTCTATGTTTTAATGAGCTCTCCAGGTGATTGTGATGCTTGCTCGAGTTTGAGTACTACTGATTTGGTTGACTGAGAAACTGAATCCTAGACACATAGAATCTCTTCCTCCCTCACTGACATCTGTGCATCTCTCTAGACTCATTTTGCACCTAGAATAGTATCTGGAATATGCTAGGCAGTCAAGAAAGGTTTGTAGATGAGTGGATGAGCAAAAGGAACTAATTATTCTGGCAATTATTTATTCATGCTAGTTTTCTCCAGTGTAGGAAATGAGAGTTTGGAATTGTTAATTTTCTTAGGAGGTGGCAGTTCTTAATTGGGATGTTTCACTCTGATCTTTCTAGGGTGGTGTTGGGTGTCTTGAGGACACCAAAACCTTTAAAAATGGAAAAAAGATTAAACAAGAAAGGTCTCAAAGAACTTTCTATTGCAATCTCACAAGACTCTTGGTGTTCTCACCTATGACTGTCCTGCGTATGTTTTATTAGTGGTAAATGACAAACTTTGAATTTGGGAATGATGTTGATAGATTTCTCATATGATATCTTTTAAGATAAGAAGTTTTGAGACTGTTTTTCTCTGTTGCTTAGCAGACCCAGTGAGAAATCTAATGCTGTAGGAAACATTGCTGGTGATTCAGTCTAAGTAATGGTCTTTTCTCTGAGTAAATGATGAAACACTTCCTTGGCCTGAATAAGAGCATTGAGATGCTATGGGGTGTTGTCTTCAGGATAAAGGTGATTTTTAAGATACAGTTGTGACTTTTCCTGAGAGAAATCCAAGTCCACTGAATTAAAACGTAACTATCTTCTGAACCACTGTTAACTCCTCCTAGAGTTTTGTTCCTTTATTCCTTATCCAGAGTGTTGCACAGATAAATCTGTGATTTATCTGATTCTCAAATTTGTATCTTACCATTATATTCATGATTAATGTGTTAGTTGATAAAGTTGGCTGGGTAGAGAGAATTATATTATTATTATTATCATTATTATTATTAATGTTTTATTCATTTTCTAAGAGAGAGAGAGAGAGAGAGAGAGAGAGAGAGAGAGAATCTGAAGCAGGCTCCACGTTGTTAGCATGGAGCCTGATGTGAGGCTTGAACTCATGAACCATGAGATGATGACCTGAGCTGTAGTCAGACGTTTAACTGACTGAGCCACCCAGGCGCCCCTAGAATTGTATTAAATACAGAGATTTAGGGGCTTTCTTTAAAGTAGTAATTTATGCCACTGTATCTTTGCAGTACAGCTTTTAAAGATTAAAATAACAAATATTATGTATTCATTCTTTGATTTTAGTCATACATATTTGCTTTTTCCTAATATTTGGCTGGATATGTGGTCCTCAGATTTGAACATCAAAATCACCTGGATGTCTTGTTCAAACAAGATTGCTAGGTTCTGCCTCCAATTTCTGAATCAGTAGGTCTGGAATAGACACCAAGAATTTGCACTTGTAATAAGTATCCAGGTGCTACTGATGCTGGTGCTACTGGTTCAGGAACCATACTTTGAGAAACATTGAGCCAAATACTTAGATTTCATAAAGTAGATGCTTATTAAAACAAAGTGACAAATCATTGAGGTGGTAATCCATATGACAGTTGTAATCTACCTTATAGCTAGTCTTTTTTTTTTTTAATTTTTTTTTTCAACGTTTATTTATTTTTGGGACAGAGAGAGACAGAGCATGAACGGGGGAGGGGCAGAGAGAGAGGGAGACACAGAATCGGAAACAGGCTCCAGGCTCTGAGCCATCAGCCCAGAGCCTGACGCGGGGCTTGAACTCACGGACCGCGAGATCGTGACCTGGCTGAAGTCGGACGCTTAACCGACTGCGCCACCCAGGCGCCCCTAGCTAGTCTTTTTAATGATAAATGGTTCCACTGCTCAGCCATGTAATAATAAATAAAATGTTACAGTTTATAAAACATTTTCTGGACCCTGTTATATTTGATCATAATCAACAACACCATGAGCCTAGGCATTGCTGTTATTATTCCTATTTTATAGATAAAACCCAAGTGAAGTAACTTCCCAAAATCAAGACTTATACATTGAATGTCTAGTGATTTTTATTTTTTTAATTTTAATTTTAATTCTTTAATTTTTTGAAAGAGTGTGTGTGAAGGGGGGTGAGGGGAGCAGAGAGAGAGGGGGACAGAGGATCTGAAGCCTGCTCTGCGTAACAGCAGTGAGCCTGATGCGGGGCTCAAACTCACAAACCACAAGATCATGATCTGAGCTGAAGTCAATGTTCAACCAACTGAGCCACCCAGGCACCTGTGTCTAGTGATTATTTAAATGTAACATTCTCTCTTAATAAAGATGGTCCCTTATGTTGAACAGAGCTTTACCACCAGTTGGCCACCTCCATAGAGCAACATGATCGATATATCCCTACTCAAAAAAATCTCCTTCACTAGTTTGAAGTTTTATTTTTTCAAATGCTTTACCTAAAGGAATGGTTCTTAACTTTGGTCCTACCTTCAAATCACCTAGAGAGCACTGAAAATTTTGATGCTCAGGCTTGCCCCCAGAAATT